GACGAGCGCACCTGTTTTGACGCCGTCTCATTGATGCAGTTTTGTATCCAAGCACTGGGGGTGCTTAAATACCATTAACTAGTAGCCTGCTTCGATTAGGCTCATTGGAGTCCAGCAAAGAATCGGTCCAACGATGCCGTATAGCCCTGTACAAAAACACTTATCACTATTCTCTAAGGCAGTATTCATGCAAACTTACTGCAGTTAGTTGTTCATAATAAATTTTAAGGAAAGGCGATTATGACTCACACGCATAGCGGCTCCTGTCGAGGTTCACCGATTGGACTCGATGGCCGAGGTTAGTCACCGTTTGGCCGTAGCTTAGATAGAAATCGAGCTGTGAGAGGGACTAGCAGGTGATGCTCTTCTATGTGATGAGTGAGGCGCGACTCGATCGATCAGAGCGATCAGCTCAGGCGACTTCTAACGGTGAACGACGGCTAACTGCCCTCGATCCTGGTTTCCGAAGACCATGCGGCGAAGTCCGATTACGAGTGAAGGACGGAGGTGTCTGTTATCGTTAAAGCGATGAGGATCGGCGCAGTTCGTCGTGATCGCCACCACCTCCGCCCCCGTTCACTGCAGCACGTCTCAAACGATTGCCCAGACGATCTGCATCAGTGAATATGTTTCATTGATCCATTGTCGATACTCCCTCGCAGTGCGTCAGCATGGGTCAGCCGCGAGAAAGCCAATCATAGTCGATGAGATTGATTTTGAATGGTTTGTGCTTTGATGCAATCTTCAGTCTCCGCTGTTTCACGTTCCACTGGTGCTTGATCAGCTTGGAGTTCGCCAAGAGTCGGTACTGCTCCACTAAATGGCAGTAGTACGAAATTTCCTTTATTTCGCTTGCCTTTTATCATTTCGACGGTCCTGTCGATTCCAGCTGTGGATTTTAGCATGACTTCCAGCTGTTGTTAACGTTTGCGCTTCTCGGGGTAATGGAGGCTTGTAGGCGGCCTAGTAGGTTTACCCCGTTGGGACTACCCCTAGGCTTTGTTGGTTTTCTCCTTGACTCTGTAAATTCTACGGCGTGAGTTAGCTTTTTCTGCAGCTGCTCTTCTGAAATTGTCTGGGCCCGATCTTACCCTTCATCTTTGGCTTCTCATGGACAGGCCGAACGGATTTTATTGACCTAGGTATCAAAAATAGGAAGGCCTGAAGATATTCCGACAACGTAATCTCGCCCCTTACAGGTGGTCCTGTGACTGCCTTCATAAGCGCTTCATCCCCGCTATTTACCTCCTCCTCTAGCGTCCCAAGCAGTCCCTGCAACTCAGTCGCCCCCATCCTTGACATAGGCTTCTCCGCAACTACATGTGGAGTCCTACCGTGCCCAGCGAGATGCTCCTCTCCTCCAGGATCAACTTGTACTCCATCGTCTGCCGTCGCTTCTTAATGGCCTTTACTGTTCTTCCATCAAGCTTCTGAGCGATTAGTTCGTTGACATTTCGCACTCCTGATTCCACTTCTAACTCAGCTATGGCCATAACCCGCACTTCATCTATCGTCCACCTTGGGTGCTTCAAATGTGGGATTTCCCGATTGTACTCCACTGGCTGGATCCTTTGTTTATGCCCCCAACTAATGTTGATCCGGAACCTCCTAGAGCATATCCCACACTCATAAAAAGTTCCTCCC